CTGCGATTCGATAAAGCCATTAGCAAGTTTGGTTTTATCAAGAATCCAGATGAGTCTTGTGTATACAAGAAGGTCACTGGGAGTGATATTGCATTCCTAGTCCTGTATTTCGATGACATACTTCTCATTGGAAACAGCACAAAATTATTGGAGTCCGTAAAAGGCTGGTTGGGAAAGTTCTTTTCAATGAAGGACTTAGGAGAGGCACAATACATATTGGCCATCAAGATCTACAGAGACAGATCGAAAAGGATGAATGGATTTATCTAGGGTACTTACATTGATAAGGTACTAGCACGATTCAACATGGAGAATGCCAAGAGAGGGCATTTACCCATGTCCCATTGCATAACTCTCAGCAAGAAACAGTGTCCACATATACCTGTTGAGCGAGAAAGAATGAATCAGATCCCATATGCTTTGCTGATCGGATCGATCATGTATGCCATGATATGTACAAGGCCAGATGTGTCATATGCCTTGAGTGCAACGAGCCAATAATAATCAAACCCAAGAGAGGCGCATTAAACTGCGACCAAGAATATCCTAAAGTACCTGAAAAGGAACGGGGATAAGATCCTGTTGTATGGAGGCCACAAAGAACTGGTTGTTGAAGGTTACACCGACGCTAGCTTCCAAACTGACAGAGACGACTTCAAGTCACAGTTGGGATACTTATTCTGTCTGAATGGAGGAGCGTTCAGCTAGAAGAGTGTCAAGTAGAGCACCACTGCAGACTCTACAACTGAAGCCGAGTAATTGGCCGCTTCGGAAGCTGCTAAGGAAGCTGTTTGGATTCGTAAGTTCATCAGCAAACTTGGTATTGTACCCTCAATCAAGGGGCCGATAGACCTCTATTGTGATAACAATGGAGCTATCGCTCAGGCCAGGGAGCAGAGAGAAAACCAGAAGGTCAAACACGTGCAAAGGCGATTTCACATGATAAGGGAATGGAAATCCAAAGGTGAAATCAGAATTTGTAAGATTGGCACAGATGATAATGTGGCCGATCCCTTGACTAAACTGCTACCTCAGGTGAAACACAACAAGCACATTGAGGTGATGGGAATCAACCATGTTGGAAACTGGCTTTGAAATTCCCTGTACATGTTTTTTAATTAAACTGGTAGTTTTAATGTATGACACTGTATTGAAACCATTCATTTATGGAGTAATTAATTTTTGTGCAAAATTATCATTCACTCCATTACTATTTAAATGTGGTTTAGAATTATCATTCACTCCATTAACATGTCTTGGATAAAGAAACACCTGTTAAGTGAATATTGAATATTTAAATAAAAAATTGTCCCTAATCGAGGTCATCTAACGGATGGACGATTGATGACTGCCATAGATTAGTGTGTAGTATGATTTACAGCACCGTTTCTTGTGTTGCGAGGACGTGATAGTCATAAATCATTTGCACAGGTATAGTTTGGAACTTTACTGGATAATATCTATGAGAGTGCTTTAAGAAAATTCAGAATAGTCATAAGTACATTTCTCATTATGACTATCGGAACTTGTTTCCTCTGACCATGAGAATTGTGAAGCTTTCTTGTTTGAGTACTAGACTCTTTGACGTTTCCTGACGTCTGCCGTAACTAGGGATCATAACGGCAACACTCGGGAGACTAAGTCCTCTTAGTAAGATGAACTTACAATGCAAAACTGGGATTGTCCCCCTATTAACAATAGGGAAAATGTTTTGTTGTTTACAAGGCCGCTCGAAGAGCAAAACTGTGAAAATGCATGGCCGTGCTTAGATGAATTTTAGAAATCATCTTCTTATTGACAATCGAACTCGGAGATCGAGAAACACTTCTAAACGTAATAAGGATGACAATGAATCTTACCTTATAGTTCACGAAGAAACATTAAGAGACATAGGAAATGGGCTATACAATTTATGCAAACTTATCCGGAAGGACAAGTGGGAGATTGAAAGGAATGGTGTCCTTCCAACAAATGTATTCTTCCGATAGAGGGTTCAGAATTATTACAGAGTTAATTCTTCAGTAAGATCAAGTGATCAAAATGCCTAGGTGGAGGGCGCTTCCGATCAGTAATATCGAGGTACAATTGATATTACAGCTTAATCTTAACTTAACCCTTCAGGTCGAACCCAATCGAATCACCGATCCAAGACGACGAATTAATCCAAATGGATTTAATGAGTCGACAGAGTTTTACGAATACAGACGTCAGATATCAAACCTAGGGCGTCGAGACCGTGTGTCGCAAAATCACAAAGCGACAAGTATAAAAATAGCCATGTGGATGCTAGGCTAGTTCGAGCTAGCATGCACCTAGCATGGCTAGGCTCAAGCCTAAGAACACTAGATGTGCTAGGCGCACCATCGTGTACCATCGCAACACAGCAGGGCGACACACGCACCAAGCAAAGCCATCGCAGTGCTAGGCACTGGCGCATGTGCATGTGCGTGTATGCGTGCCTCACACCAAGCATAGCAGTGCTAGGCACTGGCCGATGCGTGCTAGTGCAAGGATGCCTAGCAGCATCGCCCAGCACGCATGCTAGGCCTTGCGTGCGTAGGCTCGCTGGCTGGTCAATCAATGGCGCGAGGGTGGTGCGTGGTGCGATGCGTGCTGTGCGTGACTAGTGCGCATGGTGCGTGGCTAGTTCATGTGCTGCGAGGCTGATGCGCATGGTACAAGGAAAAGGGGGCCAGCATGCATGGCTCGCTAGTAGCACGCATGTTGGCTATGCTAGCAATGGTGTGCGAGAGGTGCTGCGAGAGATGCGAATGCCAGCACCAGCGCCTAGCATCGCTAAGCACCAAGCATGCATTGCCTTGCTAGGATGCGAGGTTGCTGAGCAGGCTGGGCTGGCTGGCACTGCTAGCTGGCGTGCTAGCTCGCAGCAGCCCATCAACCCTTGTTTGGGTCGGTTTTGCATGTGGGGACCATTGTTGGAGCAATGGCTTGGGGATCAAGGCAATGGTCCCCTCCAAGCCTTTGGTCCTCACTTGGTTTTCTCTATTATTGTGCCATGTGTCGATTTGTGATTGAATTGATTAATCATTTAATTTTGGAATTAAATAATTATCATTTCACCAACTCTCCAACATTTGATGGGAGATTGAAAACCAAGGATTCATTTCCTTATAAATACCCTTCAAGGGTGTTAGGAAATAAACAACCTTGAGTGGAATTAAAAAGGAAACTCTTATAATTAGAGTAAACCTTTGATTCGTAAAACTCATAGTTTTGTTTTGTCCGGTTCTTGACTAACCTTCAAGACTTAGGACGCTCGGGTCGGGTCGAGGGTACGATCTTTCGGAGATCTCGTAGTTTCGGGATTTTGAAGTAAAAGCTCTTCGGGAGCGAAGCACGCGACAAAGATATAATTTTTGTTCTTAGTCTTTTTGATTAAGTTTATTATGCTTGTTAATTGCTTTAATTAAGGGGTGATCTTGGGGGGTTTCCTTCCGCGTAGTGTCGGGTCACTACGAAACCCTACACTAATTCCAACCACAACCTCCACAAACTACAATGTACCTGTTTTACAGCAATAATAATCCAAATATGTCCACAAATCTAACAGCAATTTTCAATGATAATCAACCATATCCGGCAATAATCAATAATAAACAACAAAACTCCACAAATAATAAGAAGTATCTCAATACTAACCAAAGGTAATCAAAATCTTTGCTTCAAAATAAATCAAAAAATATAAAGAGAACAATGAATTTGAATACCTAACCCTTTTGGGCTAAAATTTATTGTTTTTATGGACTTGAAGAACCGGATTGGAAGGATGTTGCTGCAATGCTCGTGATTTGATGATGGCGCGATGGTGAGATGGTGAAGGCGCGGCCGCGGTGATAATGATGGTGAAGGAAAGACCTTGAAGCTTGTTTGATGATTGTGGAGATGGATTTGAGAGATGGAGAAGTTAGGGTTTGTTTGAATTTTAGAGAGAGAGTGTGTGAGAGCAGATTTTTTTTATAGAGAGTAAGAAGGGAGATAGGAGGTTTTCACGGTTTAGGGTGTTTTTCATTTTTTTTTATTTTTTTATTTTTTTATTTTTTGATTTTACGGAATTCAACCAGGCGCGCCCGCTCCCTACATAGGCGCGACCGCGCCAAATATAGGTGTGCCCGCGTTTAATGATCACGCGCCCGCGCAGTAAAGATCGAGGGTTTAGTAAGCCTTCTGCAGATGTGAAGGTGCGACCGCGCCAATTGCAAGGTGCGGTCTCTCCTATGACGCGCATAAACCACGCACCCTTCTGGTTTTTTTTTTTTTTTTAAGTTTCAGGAAACAGAAAGGGAGCGATCGCGCAAATATAGGCGCGCCCGCTCCGTTTGCAAATGCGCGGTCCCTCCTCAGACGCGCACAAACCGCGCACCCTTCTGGTTTTTATTCATGTTGGCACCAGAAAGAGCGCGCCCGCGCTCTTTTAAGAGCGACCGCTTCTTCAACAGATGTGCGATCTCTTCTTAGCCGCGCTCAAACCGCGTACCCTTTTTTTTTTCTTCAATTTCAGACCCTAGATGAGGAGCGCCAGCTCCGTTTTTAGCGCGCCAGTGCCATCAGAAGATCGCGGACCACTCCTTTGTCGCGCACAAACTGCGACCCTCAATGTTTTTTTTTTCAATTTGTAAAACAGGAATTAAACGCGCCCGCTCCTATTTCCTTTTGCGGGTCGTTCATTGATCGCGCACAAACCGCGACCCCTATTACCTTTGGTCCAAATTGGACCTCTAGCTCTCAAAATATTTCAATTTTGCTTCAAATCTTCTCTTTTCTCTAAAACACATTCGACAACACCTACATCACATTATATCAAGAAAAGTCTTAGAGAGAATAATTTAAGCGGTTCGAAAAAAAAATAGAATAAAAAAGGTTAGAAACCGGGTTGCCTCCCGTAAGCACTTCTTTAACATCACTAGCTTGACTCCCTTCACACGAAATCATGGTGACTTGAAAACATCAATGAGTGATATATATTTCGGCTTCTCAATTGGTTAACCCTCGTCGTACGCCTTGAGATGGTGCCCATTCACTTTGAACGGAGGGTACTTGTCATTGAATATCTCGACTGAGCCATATGGAAAGACTTTGGATACTTGGAATGGACCGCTCCATCTAGACCTCAATTTTCCGGGGAAGAGCTTGAGTCTTGAATTGTAGAGTAGGACCTTTTGCCCTTCCACAAACTCCTTCTTGGAAATTTGAGCGTCATGCCACGCCTTGGTTCTTGCTTTATAAAGGCTTGCACTATCATAGGCATTCATTCGGAGCTCTTCTAGCTCATGAAGATCTAGCATCCTTTGTTCACCCGCGGCGTGGAGATCAAAATTGATTTGCTTAATGGCCCAATTTTCTTTATGCTCAATTTCAACCGGGAGATGACAATTCTTCCCATACACAAGATTATAGGGAGTTGTCCCAATTGGAGTCTTAAAGGCAGTCCTGTAAGTCCATAATGAGTCAATGAGCTTACTAGACCAATCCTTCCTTGTTCTAGCAACGGTCTTCTCCAAGATGACTTTCAACTCCCTATTTGTGACCTCCGCTTGACCACTTGTTTGGGGCTGGTAAGCAAGGCCTCGCTTATGCAATACACCATACTTTGAAAGAATCTTGTTGAATGTATGGTGCTTGAAGTGTGAACCTCCATCACTTATGATTGCCTTAGGAACACTGAATCTTGGAAAGATCACTTTCTTGAACAAATTGACAACCACCTTTGAGTCGTTGGTGGGAGATGCCACGGCTTCCACCCATTTGGAAACATAGTCAATGATAACAAGAATGTGCCGGTTTCCTTGAGATGAGATGAAAGGGCCCATGAAGCCAATCGCCTAAACATCAAAGATTTCGAGCTCAAGGATTGGATTTTGAGGCATCTCGTCACTCCTTGAGATGTTTCCCGTCCTTTGGCACCTATCACATGTCTTCACAAAGGACCAAGCGTCCTTGAACAAAGTCGGCCAAAAGAGCATTGATTGCAAGACTTTAGAGGCGGTCTTTTGGGCACTCATGTGTCCATCACAAGGGAATGAGTGGCACATTGAGAGCACACTTTTGAATTCTTCATCGGGAACACACCTCCTCAAAAGCCCATCCACCCCTCTTTTCAACAACGTTGTATCATCCCATATGTAATTCTTGGCTTCATACTTAAGCCTTTGTTGTTGTTGAGAAGTGAAAGTTCGTTGTATATCACTACATGAAAGGTAATTGACGATGTCGACAAACCAAGGGGTTTCCTTGGCATCAAGAGCATATAGAACAGCGTCCCTTAAAGCATCTTCAATCATTCTTGTGCTTCCCAATCTTGAAAGATGATCGGCTACCACATTCTCGGCTCCCTTCTTATCTCTTAATTCCAAATCAAAGTCTTGAAGGAGCAAAACCCATCTCAACAACCTTGGCTTTGCCTCCTTCTTTCTCATAAAGTACTTAAGAGCCGAATGATCAGTGTACACTATTGTCCTAGACCCACTGAGATAGGGCCTAAACTTCTCAAAAGCGTGAACAATCGTTGGGAAATCCTTCTCGGTTGTGGTGTAGTTCCTTTTCGCATCGTTGAGAGTCTTGGACAAATAGGAAATCACATGTAGCCTACCCTCTTTACGTTGCCCTAGAACTGACCCAATGGCCTCGTCACTTGCATCACACATTAATTCGAACGGTAGTGACCAATCGGGTCCTTGGACAATCAGAGCGGAACAGAAGGCTTCTTTCAACTTAAGAAAAGCACTCAAACAAGATTCATCAAATACAAAATCTTTATCTTGTTGTAGAAGAGATATGAGGGGCTTAGAAATCAAAGAAAAGTCCTTGATGAAGCAGCGATAAAAGTCGGCATGACCAAGGAAAGACCTCACTTCTCTCACATTTGTGGGAGGAGGAAGCTTCTCAATCACATCAACTTTTTCACCATCAACTTCGATGCCCGATTGGGAGACCTTATGGCCAAGCACAATACCATTCTCCACCATGAAGTGGCATTTCTCCCAATTGAGCACCAAGTTTGTACTCTAGCATCTTTCTAGACAACGAGATAAATTCAAGAGGCACATCTCATATGTACCTCCGCCCACAGAAAAATCATCCATAAAAACCTCCATCTCTTCCTCAATCATGTCACTAAAAATTGACATCATGCATCTTTGGAAGGTAGCCGGAGCGTTACAAAGACCAAATGGCTTCCTACGGTAGGCAAAGGTACCGTAGGGGCAAGTAAAAGTGGTCTTTTCTTGACCCTTGGGATCTATTGGGATTTAGAAGAATCCCAAATAACCATCAAGAAAGCAATAGAATGCATGCTTTGTAAGCCGCTCAAGCATTTGATCGATAAACGGTAATAGGAAATGGTCATTGGAAGTATTAGCATTCAATTGGCGATAGTCAATACACATACGCCAACCCGTCACAAGGCGAGTTGGGACCAATTGTTGCTTGTCATTGACCATTACCGTCATCCCTCCCTTTTTGGGCACTAATTGAACCGAGGACACCCAATCACTATGAGCGATTGGATAGATGATCCCCGCTTCAAGAAACTTAGAAACTTAATTCCTTACAACCTCTTGCATGGAAGGATTAAGTTTCCTTTGCCTTTGCCTACACGACTTAGCACCCTCCTCCAAATCAATTTTATGCATGCATAGAGAGGGGCTTATACCCTTGTGGTCCTCAAGGGCATAACCCAAAACCTTTCTATGCTTTTTCAAAACATTAAGCAATAGGGAGGTTTGCTCATCTGTGAGGCTTGCATTGACAATGACCGAAAAAGATCCATTTGCATCTAGGAAAGCATACCTCCAGCCCGAAGGTAAAGGTTTCAAGTCCACCTTCGGCGCTCCCTTACCATTGGAGACCTCTTCCTCTTCCGCTTAGAAGACTTCATAAGTTGGGAGTATCTCTTGGTCGGTTGTTGCCTCCACTTTGTCATCAAGCATCTCCTCATATACTCGCATCTCCTCCTTTTGATCACCTATCTCATTCTCATTCAACAAAACATTCTCAAGTGGATCGTTAGAGGCATGCACATGAGGTTATCGAAATTCATTCATCAAATTTTCAAAAGTATCTACCCTAAATAATTCATTACTTGCGGAAGGTTGTTTCATGACATTGTTCAAATAAAATTCAATAGAGTCATTATTAACCTTCAAAGTCATTTTACCTTCTTTAACATTAATGATTTCTTTAGAGGTAGCTAGAAATGGTCTACCCAAAATTATAGGAATCCTCTCATCCTCATCCATCTCTAGAACATAAAAGTCCACCGAAAATGTGAACTTACCAACTCTAAGGGGAATGTCCTCAAATTTCCCTATGGGAAATTTAGTGGACCTATCCGCTACTTGGAGGGTGATGTTGGTAGGTGAAAGACTTCCTACATTGAGCTTTTGGTAGACCGAGAAGGGCATAAGACTTACACTAGCGCCTAGATTGCACAATGTCTTTCTTAAGTGAATCTCATTAAAGGAACAAGGAATGGAAAAACCGAGAAGGATCTTGCAATTTTGTTAGAAGCTTGCTAGAGAGAATGGCACTACAATTTTCGATCAAGTTTACGGTTTCAACTTCTCTCTTCCCATTCAATAGGTCTTTTAGGAACTTAGATTAGTGGGGCATCTCCTTCATGGCATCCACAAAAGGTATCGAAACATGCAAACCTTGGACTACTTCTAAGAACTTTCCAAATTGGGCATCAAGCCTAGACCTATAAAACCTTTGGGGATATGGCAATTTCTCATTCCTAGGTTGTCGATTATAGGGGCAAAAGTGTTTGATCTTTGTCACTCTCTTTTGTTGGCTCTTTCTCTTTTTGCTTCTCACCCCTCTCATTTTCTTTTTCTAGGACCTCACTCTCTTTAGGTGGCTCATCCTAATCTTCTAGTTCTATCCTCACATTGGAACTCTCCTCATCATTTGAGTCACTCTCAAGGACTTTCCCGCTCCTATCAGTGATAACATACATAGGTTTGGGGTTGACACCTTGACTAGGAAAAGAGGAAGAGGAAGAAGGGGAGGATGAAGAACTAGGTTGGGCTATTTGAGAGATTTGGGTCTCTAGCATTTTCATATGCGCTTTGATTTGCTTCTTTTCCTCCTCTTGGCTTTTGTTAAAGATCTCTTGATTCTTGATAAGTGCTTGAAGCACGCCCATCATAGAATTCAGAGCGACTTCTATTTGAGGAGGAGATAAGTTGGAATTTTGGGCTTGCAGTCTCACTTGCCCAAAACCGGGAGGTCTATTTTGAGGACTTCCATTTCCGGAACCCTGATTGGAATTAAAACGTTGTTCGTTGTTGGAATAGTGTTGTTGGTTTTGATTCCAATTGGGCCTTTGGTTTGAGTAACATCTTCCATTGTAATTGGAAGAGTTTCCCCTACCTTGGCCTTGGTTATCATAACCACCACCACTTTGATTCCATTGATTTTGATTCCAACCTTGGTTTTGATTCCAATTTGGCCGCATTCCAACATTTCCCTCTCGGGGCACAAAATTCATGGCATTAACATCTTCAACATTATCATCATTTTCATGGGGAGGGGGACCTTCACTTATGGACATACATTGTTGAGAATTATGATCATAGTTTCCACATATATAACAAAACATACAACCAGGGGCATAGCACTGTAATTAGAAGGAGAAGAAGTAGAGAGGCTCATACCATGGCCTCCCTTGGTAGAAGGGGAGGAACTTTGAGAATTTATCTTCATAAACCTTCCACTTGGTTCGAAAGGTTGGTGATTGCATTTATTTTCTCTATGGATTACACCGTACCTTTGCTAGAAGTGGCATCCCTCTCACCTTCGTACCAATCCTCATAATTGCGCACAACATCTTCTATGATACTCTCCACTTCATCTTCCCTTTTGTTCATGATTGGGCCTCCGGCTCCGGCATCAAGGCTAGTCTTGCTTTGAGGGGAGAGTCCTCCATAGAATGTTTGGAGAACTTGCCAATTAGGAATCCCATGGTGTGGGCATTAAAAGGAATGGTGTCCTTCAAACAAGTGTATTCTTCCGATAAAGGGTTCAAAATTATTACGGAGCTAATTCTTCAGTAAGGTCAAGTGATCGGAATGCCTAGGTGGAGGCCGCTTCCGATCAGTAATATCAATGTATATTTGATGTTACAGCTTCATCTTAACTGAACCCTTCGGGTCGAACCCAATAGAATCACCAATCCGAGATGACAAATTAATTCGAAAGGATTTAATGAGTCGACAAAGTTTTACGAATACAAACGTCGGATATCGAGCCTAGGGCGTCAAGACCGAGCGTCGCAAAATCACAAAGCAACAAGTATGAACATAGCCCTACCACCGCACTGGCCTAGCCATGTGGATGCTAGGCTAGTTCAAGATAACATGCACCTAGCATGGCTAGGCGCAAGCCTAAGCTCACTAGGTGTTCTAGGCGCACTATCACAGCCCATCACAGCCTATACAACATCACTAGGCGCACCATGCATGCCCTAGGATGGCTGGGCACCATCGCAAGCCAAAGAGCATCACTAGGCGCACCATGCGTGCCCTAGGATGGCTGAGCACCATCGCAGCCCAGGCATCATCTTTAGGCGCACTATGCATGCCTTAGGATGGCCGGGTGCCGTCGCGGCCCTAGCACAATGCTGGGCGCATGGTAGGACCACACGCACCAAGCACAGCTAGTGCTAGGCACTGGCGCATGCGTGATGTGTAGTGCTTGACCGAGGCTTGTGAATGCATAGTGCATGGTGCATGGCCGAGGCTAGTGCGTGCAGCTGTGCGAGTGTATGCGAGGGAGAGCTAGCAAGCAGCGTCAAGCCCAGCATGCATGG